TCAGGGTAAGAACAGGCAGTCCAGTTCCTATAAAACTGGGAGAAAGGGCACAATTTGATTTAGTAAAGATCTTGGGTTTTAATCAGCAGTTTACGGCAAAAGTGCTGTAGGGCAAAGAAACCAGCCCATTAGTCCAGATTAATTCCTAAATGAATTTGCAGGGTGTGGAGGGTGGAAGAGACAAGGCTGCTACCACCAGCCTGTGTTAGCAGGCTAATTCAGTAGTTTTAGTTTCTTGTTCACCGATTTTTTTTTTTAACCTAATCCTGTAGGCTGAAAGTAAAATCTACATTATTGCAAAGCACAGAATATCATTTACATGTAACAGTAGCTATCGGAGAAGGAAAATGGAGGGAGAAAGGCAGGGAAATGATGCACTAGAGACCACTACAATTCCACTACACTCATGGTAAGGTTATTCCATACCATGCAGAGAGATGGTAAAAGGCTGGAGAGGGCAACTGTGTTGTATGAGAGGCAGTAAACTGAAGCTGTGGCAATAAGCACTGTACTTCCAGTATCAAAAAAGCTCTAGGCTACAATTTCCATGCCAGCCCAGCACCAACACAGCTACCGAGTACTACAATAGCTGAAAAGATCATCTCTGCATTACAAGTCTGTTTGTATCATCAGATGGTTTAAGAACAGGTAGAGTCATGGGCTAAGTTTAGTTTTGATCACAGGAAGACCACTTCATTAGCGGTTTCAATAATCCTGCTCTTAGGCCTGTGTACAGCCCTGGAGTTCCTAAAAAGCCATGATTCATCAGTTATCACTCAGGGATTCCTGTCTGTTACAGCATGAAGTGCAAGACAACAACTTAGTCATCAATTTAAATTTATCGGGAGAACTTTCTTTACCTTCCTCCCAAAGCCACAGTCTGGCCAAGAGAAAAATCTTTTTAATAAAAGAAATTGATCTTTTTTCTCTATTGAAGTGTTATCCTGTTTCCTTTAGAGTTCTTCTCCCATTTTCTTTTACTTCAGTATTAGAAGAATCAGATTCATCATATACCAAGGCTCTAAGACATGCAGTAAAAAAAAATATTCGAGATCAGGATCCCACTCCAGGTGTTCCTCATCCTTAAGTCTGCAACTTAGAAGGTTACCTCTCAATAGTAAGGTATTAGAATTGCAGTTCTGATATTAATCTCCATCTCCTGTGGCGCTCTTCCTCCTCCACCTGGCACCCCAGCAAAATAATGGGAAATAACATGGGAGATTTATCACCCTTGATCTGAAGAAAAGAGATCAGAGTTCAAAAGGAGGAAGGAATTTAGGAGACACAGTAAAAGCTGCTGCCATCCCAGTTCTCCAGCCAGAGATATCAAAACTGTTTACATTTTTTCCCCACCTTCTTGGGGAAAAGAGCTGCCCCCCTGCATTCCAGGGTCACTGTGATTTACCTACTCATTGAGAGCTGGCTACAGCATTGCACTGCTTAACAAGGGAGATGAACACAGAAGTAAGTGTAGACCAAGGTGTTACAAGAACAGCAAGACCACAGAAGTCCCATTTTACCAGTCTAGCAGTCTACTGAACTGACTGCAATGTGTTCCCACCAAAATTAAGAAGAAGAAAGCCTATGCCACTATGCCAAACCTTTAACCATCACATGGATCAGTAAGAAAACCAGGGTTCTCAGCCCATCCTTTCAGAGAGCACAGGCCAAAGCTCCCTGCAACCCAGACAATCCTTACCGACTCAGATGCTGGCTCAACAACTTCAGAAGCCCTAACAAGATGCTGACTGCTTAACCAAAAAAAAAATAAATATGGATTTACGGGAAGAATTTTAAGCCTCTGCAACACACAAGATAAGATAGACTTCAGCCAAACCCACTCTGGCCTAGTGGCTGGGCAATTCTCCAATTTAAGCATTTGCGCATTGTTTGTTGTGAAGAGTGGAGCATTCCAGGTTCCATATTAAAGGCTTAATCATCAGCCTCTACTGCATGTCTTGCTTAAGAGCTTTCTGACCAAAGAGCCTAGAGCAGTACTTGAAGAAGAGTCATATAAGCTTTCACTCAAAAGATGGTACGAGATTATTTCTCAATTCTCTTCAGGAAAGGTGGGCCTGACAGAACCTCACACCAAGAGATGGTCCTGCCTCAAAGGTCTCGATCTTGCCCACCAAAATGAAATGAACGGGTACCTTATTTATTTTACAGAAAAGGTTTTTCAGTATGAGCTAGCTCAGAAATAAGAAAGGCTTGCTCTGTCCCCTAGACATAAGCTTAGAACTGTAGCAGAGAGCAGAATTAATTTTTTTTTTTTATTCAAAGTGAAGCTTATCTCCGCTTGAGCAGTCACACCGGACAGGTTTAGCGAGGAAGCACAGGTCGCTGCGCAGGATGCAGCTCAGTTTTTGCAGAAAGCAGCGACATCCAGCACAAACCCATCGCTGCTTTCTGCCAGGCGCACGGTGCCCTACCACAAGCTGGGTGCCTGGAGCCCTCTCCCTTGGCCAAGGGGCCTTGATGAGGGCCTCGTCCGTAAAAGAGAAAAATAAGAGGGAGTCCTCAGATCTGTCAGACCCCCACCAATAAATAAATAAATCCTAAACCCTACTCAACACTCCTAATGTAACCCCCCCACCCCCCAACGGAGGCTGTAACCAGGCCTTAAATTTTGTAAGCGTTGCTGTCAGCGACACCACGTAAATCGGAGGTTTCGGGAGAGGCAGAGGAAGGGAAAGGCAGCTTTCCTGCCCCCGCACCCCCAACATTCCCCCCCCC